AAAAAAAGAAGAAATCACACACTGGACAACGCATAGCGCCAAGTGTAAAGCATAGACGCACAACTTTTATATCTTTCATCTTTCGACCAATGATTGCTACAACAAATTTCATTCAAGTGCTCTTGTCATTTGTTAGCGCGCTGTTGTGCGCGCAGCTGGTGGCGACCGCGCTAACTGAAATTAGTAGCGATGTAGACACAGACAGTGAATGGTCATTGGACTTGAAGACGTCGTCGGCGAATTTTGTACAACACAATTATGGAGCAACGGAATTTACACCACCATACAATCTAACACAGCAGCAAATGGATGATTACGAGCAAATAATGAGCGCCAGCGAGGATATGCCATATAGATCGCATGCGCTTTGGAATCGTACACAAGGCGCAACTGCTGATGACTATGTCTCAGAAGACTCGCGCAGTTTCCTTTGTTTACCCATTATGCGCATTTTTAATGTGGATATACGACGCGAATTGCTGCCGCATGAACACGTTGCTGTCGTTGGTGATCATGTGCGACTGGGCGCTTGGCAAGTAGAGCACGGCATAGAGATGTTGCCGAGTATGGAAAGAGGTGCGCAGTCTTCGCCGCAGATTTGGACTGCCAAGGTGGTGGTATGTGCCAACGCGCGCTTGCATTATCGTTACTTTATTTACACCGTTGACAAGCATGGACACCGGCGAGTGAGTGAGTGGGAAGGCGTACCGTATGGGCGCGTGCTGGAGAAGCATCAGATTTATCGACCACCAGGCAAAGATAAATTTGGGCTACTCTCACACATGACCATCGGCGATGTGGAGCACGAGAAGGGCTGGCTGCGACACGAGTATGTCGTCGAATTTAAGTTCATCTGGGAGCAGCATATGCAGTTCTATCGCTACTTGGATTTGAATCGACGCACACAATTTTGGCTGAAAATGGCCGTTTCGCAAAACGGTCATGCGCTACCACCCAGCGCGTGGCACAGCACAGAATTGGAAGTGTCTCGCTACGCCTACAATCGGTCACAGTTTCAACAACAGCCCAAGCGCGGTGTGGCGTACGTTGCGGGCGACATAATCATATTTCGCTTCACCGTGCCGCTTGGCACGCGAAACTCCTATCAGCTAAGTATTTCTACGGTGAATGGTATAAATGTGGGTGAAGTTCTGGTATTTCCCATGGACTTGCGCGGTTTAGAGGGCGTACTTCGCTTGCCCATACATAATATCGTGAATGGTTTTCAGGTTGGCACATTATCGCTACCCTACGTCATAATACGTCCTCTAGTCGGCGCTGTGGACTATAATCTGCGCGGCAGCTTTCAGCGCTATTGGCCGATGAACTGGCCCTCTATGGATGTGGGCCATCGCGGCATTGGCGCTAGCTTCAACATGGATGCACCCTTTGTGGAGAATACCATAGCCAGTTTTAAGTACGCTTACAAAAACAAGGCGGATATGGTAGAGCTGGACGTGCAGCTGACGCGCGACTATGTACCGGTAGTATGGCACGACTTTGGCTTCCAAACTGCGCCCAGTGGACGTAGAGTGAGACACATAGATGACTTGGATTATGTGCTCATTCAGGATCTCACCTACAAGCAGCTGAAGAGTAGTCGCGTCTTCGCCATTGAGGATGGAAAAATCTATGATTACACGAGTTTCAATGTGCGAAGCGCATCCGAAGACGAGCGCTTATTTCCCTTGCTGCCACAGATCTTCAAAGCGTTGCCGCCAACGGTTGGCTTGGTTATCGACATTAAGTGGCCGCAGGTGCTGCAGAATGGCGCCGCTGAGTCGGCGCACACACTCAATAAAAATCGTTTTGTTGATGTTATTCTACTGACGGTTGGGCAGAAAGGCTGCGGCCGGCCGCTCTTCTTCTCCAGCTTCGATGCTGACATCTGCACCATGATGCGCCTGAAGCAGAATGTATTCCCTGTGGCATTCATTACAATGGGTGAAACAAGCTTGTGGGAGCCCTATATGGATTTGCGCACGCGCTCCTTCCACGATGCAGTGAATTTTGCGCAATCAGCCAACCTGCTGGGCACCGTTGCGCATGCGGAAGATTTTCTCGACAACTGCGCCACACCTGACCACGGTTTGGATTTGGGTCAGGCGACATTTGTGTGGGGCGATGATTTGCATGACGCACAGACGGTTGAGCAATTCAAGCGCTGGCAAGTGTCTGGCGTTATCTACGATCGCATCGACCTGTATGGGCCGCTGCGTAAGCGCGATCGTTTTTTCAACACAGCTGACTTAGTAGACCTTTTTACACGCCAGTGCATAGTTGTTGGGCATTCGAATTGCTCCAGTATACTTGCGCTGCCGGATGGATTTGACTTGCATGGAAAACCGGTGAGTCGACTGGGCTGTGAGGTGATTGTGCAAGCCATAAGCTGAGACTCGTGTGCTTGGGGAAAAACACTGGAATTTTTTATGCAATTATTTGTGTATACAACAAATTAATAGCGACATGGCTTGAGTAGGCATTTAAAATACTTAAATTTTATTGAAAAAACGTTGCTTGCTAAGTGTTAAAGTGGAGAGATAAAAATAAATAAATACATAATTTTCATAGGGAAAATTCTGGTTTTCTTTTTATGAAGTAACTGGTTATTATATGTGTTACTTTGAAGTGGGCACACACAACTGCAATTACCAATAGAGTACAGAGCCACAATGAAGTCCACAAATCGCTTGTGGGTTGCAATTTGGACAAAAGCAAAGAAACATTGACGGAAAAATACAAAAAGAAAGCAGTTGGTTTTNCACACAACTGCAATTACCAATAGAGTACAGAGCCACAATGAAGTCCACAACTCGCTTGTGGGTTGCAATTTGGACAAAAGCAAAGAAACATTGACGGAAAAATACAAAAAGAAAGCAGTTGGTTTGGAATTAGGCTACATAGGATTGGCCGCTAGGTATTTGCCGAACGCAGTTTATAACGAAAGGAAGCTTCCTACGCATAGCGAGACCTATACCAAAATCGATGACGATTTTATGCATAAAATAAGCTTTCAACGACATTAACTCATGCCCGATCATCACGAACTTCTTCCTTATAAATGCCGACATCGGAGTCCCATCAGCACTGTAGATGACCAACCTCAGCTGTGTGGCACAACCCTGGTACAACTAAAGTCTATATTCTATCTATTGTAGCAGACAATACTAATACTTATCCAGATTCAACCCCCACATACCCAACACATGCGCTCATACGACGCCCATTATCTATCTCTTCGCTTGTCCCTCAAACCCATTCAGCTAACACCATTCTGCTTTGGTCAGCCCATTGAAACAGCATGTTTCCTGATCCTACATTAGTTGATTTCTACGATAACGATTGATAGATTAGCCGATTCAAGCAGAGTTAAGCAGTGCCGCTAAAATAACAACAATAAACTTCAGTTGCCTCGAGAGAGCCCCGTAACTTTGCCGTAGTTAATTACAATCTGGATATTGGAGTAGGTGATTTTCCTACGGTGACACGACACTTACCATCTTTTTTTCTTTCTCTGCCAGTCTTTCTACTAATATCCACATCCTTTACGGACCAAACCGTTACCCTGGATGGAGTTAGCATTTCTGAGGTCTTTACTTGTTTAAGAGAGCATTAAGCGGTGTGGAAAATTAAGCATATTACGTAATCCGTCTCTCTTCAGAAGCTGCGAAAGTTATAAGGAAGGTCAGGAAGCGCTTAGTAATCCGCTATAACAACAACAACAAGCATACAGTGCCAACGTGCTCCACCTAGCTAACTAGTCACTTTAACTGCCGCGAGAAACGATCTGCCATTAGATCGTCCTAAGGACTGCCCCAGGATGACGAATGGTGTCACCAGAAGTTAAGGTTTTCTGGTTTCAGTGCTCTTATAATTAAGTAGAGTGGAGAGGTGTATATTCTGTTATTTAAGTATGCTTCGGTCATCGGTCGCTAGGTTATGTTAGGTTGGTGTGGAAGTAGGTGCAAATAATCAACTCACTTAGATCTTGAAGGTCCATTGTGATTATAAAAACATTTTCAAGCTCTTATAAAGCGTAGCGACTTCAATATCTCTATGCCACGCGACCGATTAGAGGCTGACCTTGCATATGGGCTAATATCGTTTAGAGCTACGATGCATTCCTGTGCAACCATTGATCTTAGCATTACCGCGTTCAATCATTTGATGGTCGCATGGCTGTACGAGAAGAAATTAATCGCAGTCTTCGTTACGGCAATCGTACTAAGTTAAGCAGCCACCTCATCTAGAGGTAAATGTCTGCCTGATAAACGCTACAGTGGTCCGGACTTTCGGCGGATAATTCCACTCCTAATTCGTTAGAGAAAACTCCGTAGCCAGCGCTTTTGTCTAGATGCCATCCATCCGTGTAAAAACTCAATTCCCACCTTCTCCATAGTCTAAGGGTCTGATTATGCATACTTCGCATAACTTCGCACAACCATTTGTACCAGTGCACTAAAAATGTAACTTAAGAAAATGTGAAGCAAAATCTAAACTCAACAGATCGCTAAGTTCTTAAAAGTTCTGCTAATTTCAGAGTGATGGAATACATACAAAATACATACAAAGTACATACCAAATTACAGTTTGAAGTTTATACGAAGTTGTGCGAAGGTATGCGAAGTATGCATAGTCAGACCATAAGTATATTCCGCTCTCTTTTTGGCAGAATTTTCGTCTTTAAGAGCCTATCGAAGGTGGGTTCATGGGCAGACTAGTCGATTTCTTTATCACAACTATCCAGAGTGTGTAGTATAAATAGAAGCGTGGCTAGAACGCCGATCCTTCAATAGCACCATACTTTTTAATCAGCGCACCGAAGCGGCGACCACATATTTTCCTACCAGATTTATCGCAGCCAATTTGGTTAATACTTGTAACCCTTTATTTACGGTGATCCATAAGATTACCGGACGTTTTTCCATTATGGCCAGTTGCGCGTTCCTTTAGCTCAGGCTAAGTTTAAAAGCATCCTCTTCAGTCTTCTTAGTCTTGCAACCTGTTTGGGAACTATTCA